AAACAATCACAATAACAATCAAGCAAACTTTGAGATTCCATCATACGTGTGGAAAAAGTTTTCAGTCGATTTTGTTCCAGCACATTTACAAATATTTTCACTAAAGTCTCCCTTTTCTCACTAGTTCGAGTGGAAAAAAAAGAGAGAAACAAACTTGAATACGAAGAAGAAAAAAAAACTGTTAAAACAAAGTACACACAACATCGCACGGCTTGTGTGCGCAAGCCGAGTGAATGGGATGCGGCAAAGAGTTAACTGTGCACGTGTAGTATTATCGGTTGCGTCTCATTAGTTGCAATTATCGTAGTTGTTGTTGTTGGTGCTAGTGCTGCTGCTGCTGCTGCTGAAAACCAAGAGCATCTCAAGTTTTGCCCCAATGAGGTAAAAAGCGTCAACACCAAATAGCTGCTATTCGGCAAAAGTTCCTTTGTATCCGTATGTGTGTGTAAGTGTAAAATGTACACACAACTTCTTTTTGATTTGTGCGCGCCCAAGAGAGAGTGAGTGAGAGAGTATGAGACTGCACCAAGGCTATTCACTGAATAGTATTCACAGCGTCAAAATGTGTAGCGCGTGTTAGTGTGTGCTTGTGTGACACAGAATTAGAATAATGTTCAACTTTAATACCGCTGAAAGCATCTCGAGATCATGAAAATGGATAAAATAAGGCACACAATGTGGTCGGATGAATATTAATATGGCGCACCCTTTTGTGTATGTGTATGGCAGTTTTTCTTCTTGATATGTTTTTTTTGCCGTTCTCAATAAATATCCACCCATCTCCTCAAACAATGGCAAAAATGTGCGGTGCTTTTAATTATTTTCTCATTCATTTTATACTATTTTTAGATAACAACAACGAGAAAAAAAAACATCCTCCACTTTTTGAGGCGCTTGAAACGCCATCATTCACCTTCACGATCCACTCTATCGATTTTACAAATTGAAACGACAGCAGCAAAACCAAACATGACGCTGTGTAACATTGAATGATAAAGTAAAGTGCAAATGCAGTACGGCTTGTACAGGCGGCGACAACAGCAAGACAAAAAAAAGCACAAGCTTTCAATTTCCTTGTGGGATTCTAATAAAAATTTCAACTTCAAAGGCAGACAGTCACGTTTGGCAGCGAAAAAAAAGAGACGAAGACGACGAAAGACAACAGAATGCAGCGTCGAGTGATACTGTGTTAAGTTCAGTGTAACGTTATTGTTTATATTTTCCTCGTTGCGCATATTAAGTGGGATTTACGTTTGGAATTTGACTGCGTGGCAACATCTTTCATTCGTTGACTTCGCGATTTTATCTGCATAGCTTAAATGCTTGTTACAACAGCAGCAGCAGCAACCGTGAGAGATGTTCGCTAAAAACGCAAAACTTCATCGGACAAAGTAATGTTGTGCGCGCGGCGCGTTCTCAATGGAAACAAATAAGAATAAAACATTATGGCAACGAAGTAAATTGTGTGTATGTGTGTTGAGAACAGGAATTGCAGAACAAAGCAGAAACACTTTTTTGCGCAACAAGGAACAGCAAATGGTACAAAATATGTTGACTCATTTTCTTCACTTTGACAAAAGATCGAATTGAAAATTTGCTATTTTCAGCTCGAAAAGAGTGCAAAAAAACGACATGCTCAATTTTTTCCTATAACAAAGTATACTGCATACGCTCCGCTCAAACACACACACACACACGAATCGAACTAGATGGCTCATAAAGAGTTTTATTCTTCCTAGTTCAACATCAGCAGTTTTTTTTCTATCTCTCCGTCTCGTTCCGTTTATGAACCGATAAAAGGGGCTAAACGTTGCGAACCGAGCATATGGCGCATTAGTGTAGAGAGTAACGAGTAGATACTTCAAGATGAAGGTCACAATAAACTTTGTATTGAACCAACCAAATTCAAAATTAATGAAATGAACTAGTTATTAAATATTGAATCACGTCAGTTAGTGATTTGGTTTAGTGCGCATTTGTGCGCGGGGCCGATGCAGAGCGAAGAAGAGAAAGGGAGGAAGGGAGAGAGAGAGAGAGAGAGGGAGAAAAGGCGCGCGACAATGCGAACGGCATCGTTTGATACGGGTATCCTTCTGTTAGTCAATGTGACATAATTCTGTTAACCATGAGCCGATGTAAAAGCACATCCGATGGGGATTTTTGGAATGCAAGTCCATGGCAACACGTGCCGCTTCGTTGGTTTATCCTTTTAAAGTTTTAAAATAGATGCACGCTTTTGCCAAAGCGAACCGTCTCTGCTCGATCATGGCATTCCAGCAATAACAGAGCAACAGCAAAACAACGACAACAAAAATGCTCTAGGAAACCTTTTTACGTGGATTTTTTTCTCTGTGTGTTTCAAAAATAAATTTTAATCCAGATCAGATGTGAAACCCAACGCCAACACGTCTCATGAAAATTTTATTTTTACCCCATAGTAGGAAGAAAGAAAAAAACAACAACCGAATCGTGTTTCACCGTCAAAACACTTGAAAATGACACCGTTGAAATTAATTATTCGCAGATTGTTGTTAATGACAGTACAAATCGCCGATATTATTGTAATGAATTCACCTGTGGGCTATTAAGCCCGTTCTGCTTCTGTTTTTTTCTCTCTTTCTTCTTGAGCCAGCCGAAAAGTATACATGTCAAACCGTAATTAATGCATTACATTATTCAGATACCACTCAATGTATTTAGATGTGGGATGGCTGGGAAAGTGCTTTTTCTTATTCGCAGCTCCGATAAAAACATTGACGTGACTGCGAGAGGATTTCTCACAAACATTGTATCCATTTTTGTTTGTATTTGGCTCAGGTTTTGCGCGACAAACTTTATTCAATCAAGTAAATTACGAAGAGCACACGCGGCAATCGCAGGATATTCACATTTTGTTTTGTGGTTACAAGTGTGGAAAGCTCTCGATGCTTTGTTTTCACTTTATATCACCGCATTTTTCTTGCGATCTGGGCATCAACATTCATTTGGAGAATTGCCTTAATGTGTTCTAGCGCTCGTTTGCAAAGCCACACACACACACACACACACACACACACCGATTTAAAACTGGGAAAAAAGCGAGCGCGCACGAATGAGAAGCTGGCAAAATCCGCCATCGTGGGAATATTCAGCACATGTTGCTAACGTGCAACATGTTAAGCACATTAAAAATTCACATGATTTGTTGTCGCTAGTTGTGAGAGCGCCAGTCACATATTCTCTTTCACTCTCGCTCGGCTCTAGTCGACCGAAACTTTTAGTAAAGATATAAAAATGGACGACGGCACATGTTAATGCAACATGCGAACGAGGGAGGCGAATAAAGGAATATAACGGAAAAAATTATGGCTAAATTTTAAAATTGTTCCCATCATGCACATAGTTTTCTTGGGGAATAAGCTGTTTTATAGATTCAAAGTTTGCCCGTTCAAATGCTTACTAATGCAACGGCACTCTGCCGCTTTTTTCTCTCCACATTATAAGAAAAGTTTTTCGTTCGCTCGGCGCGCTCTTGCCAAAAAAAATTGACGTCGACATTTTTTTTCCCTGTTCACTCTCTCGGTGCGCTTGTGCTCCGTGTCGTCCGCAACTAAGGCAAAAATGCGCAGCAATTTGTTTCGTCAAACTGAAGTTTTAAACACACGACGAGTAATGTCGGAATTTTTTTTCGAACATCCCACACGGTTTCCGCAAAGTACTTTATTTCCATGTTGTTTTTATTGTATGTGTAATGCACATTGTGTATGTATTTACCATTATCAACTTTAATCGGTGTTGAATCATCAAAAATCCATTCTAGATACGTAGTCTAGATTGACTTATCCATTTCCCCGCCTCAAACTCGAAAAACCCATCGAGAACGTTCCGGAACAAACCATACATACAATTTTCAAATTGTTATCAAGTATGTAAACAATTTCGTAAACTAAATATTTCATGGAAAAATACGAAATCGATTTCTAAATTTGACTACTGCTGCCGTTTCACTGCTGTGTCGCCGAGAGAACGCATTAACTATTCTTAGTACGTTCTCAAATTGGATGGTGGAGGAGTGTGAGAAACATACGGAGCGAAAGACACGTATGCTTTTGATATTTCAAGCGGAAATGTGTAATTGGCAGGAGCATTTTTTTAAAATAATTACTACTATCCTAAATTCAACCACGCAATAAGTGAAGCGGTTGAAGAGGTTCGGTTGTTGTGTGTGCGATGCAAAGTTTTAAATAAAATTATCACTTTTTATTACTCAATCACGCGTACACGTTTAACCCACACAATCAACTCTATGGGCCAAGTTCAATTTACTGTGAGAGTAAAATTGTGTGTGTCTCTGTGTGCGTTGTAGTGTGCGCAGGCATGCAAACTAATTGATTGATAATTTACTGAACTATTTCATAACCAAAAAGTTAAAACAGGAAAGTGGCTGGAAAATGTTCGTTGAATGGCCGTGGTCTTAGGGAGTTTGGTAGCGAGCAGCTTGTCGAATTTGAAATAGAATGCTAGGCGCATATTTTTGGCATAATTATGCGTGAATGAATGGGCGTTCATTAATAAGTGTTATTGAATACCGAGAATATTTCCAAAAAGTTTCGCCAAACTCGAAAGGACCGAGGCCAAACCATTTTTAGGGTTCTATGAGTGGATTTTTCTGTTTCATCTTTTTTTTCGTCTCGTTGTATTTCTTCAAAATTTTCGATGAACACGTGCAAATCAGCCACCTCCTATTTTATTCAAATTATGCCGAACAAACATGGATTTAATACCTAACAAATACTCAAACGAGAAAAAAAAACAACAACAACACACACAAATAACTATTTCGATTGATCGTCAAACCATTTTGCATATTGTGATTAGGTAAGATATACATGGATGACTTGACTCGCTCCACTCAGTAGAAACACACAAACTGTTGAAAAAGGGTAAAATCAATACGGCATATTGACTATAACGGTTTCGATTCAATGAACAGTTTATTGTATACGGTTACAAAATATATGGTGCAGCAATAGAAACGAAACGAAACGACATGTAATTAACTGAAGGGTGAACAGTAAATACAGTGTAGTAAATATATTGTAATGAGTATGAGATAGCGCGCACACGAGCCATCGGAAGCGGAGGCAACAGCAGTGTGGCCGAGGCGACTATTTGGCTCTTCTTTTTGTTGCTCTCTCAGTCGGGTGAGTAATTTGCATGCCAGGAAAATGCACCGTTTTGTCCAATGAGCGCCCCAAAATCTACATAATCTGCTTCGAATGCATCGAAATGGTGAGCTCGTATTCGGTTGTCAAGTTGCCGTTTCTTCTTTCGTTGGGTTTTATGTGGACGCCGTTGTCGTTGTCGTTTTCGTCCTTTTTGTGTCCGTTGCTTTCGTGTCTCGCCTTGGTCATGACTCACTATTGATTTTTCCAATTGAAGTTCCGAGCTCCTACGTCGTTTGGCATCGACCACTTCAAAAATAAACGAGAATTTTAAGAAAACACGAACGATTTCGTTCGGAATTGAGAATGAGACACACAGAGAGAGAGAGAGTCTGTGTGTTTGCGTGCGTGCTAGAAGAGCAATTTTCCAACAGAGCAAATGCGCAAATATTCACCTGATTTGCCACTTTCAACCTCGTCGTTTTCTCGATTCGAGATCTCGGTTGGCGGCCATCGACAATTGACACCTATTGCAATGTACACGATTAGCACCCAACTGGCACACATCAACTGTATATTTTTGAAATGATGACATATAGATTACGCTCAACGAAAAATAAACATGCAATTTCATTAATACAATTAACAATGCGCCGTCACTTACACGAAATAAATTCATCAAGCTTTCTTAATTGACGTGCTCACTTTCGAATAAATGTCGCTAGATATTTAAATGAATTTCACACACAGGGGGAAACAAACTCAAATATGCTAGCACGCCGAGCAGTGGTGTAATTTGCGAAAAACCGTCTGTCAACTTGACTCAAACCAAACTAAAGCCACTGCTCACATTTTGCTAGTGAAAATGCTTGCCTGCTGAAAATAAGGGGAAAATCCATCTCCAAGATGAAATGATCTCTTTTTTTAGCCGCTCTCTCTCGCACTTTGCAGCCGGATTATAGTGATTGGTTGAATTTTTTATAACAAAAACTTGAGACTTTTGATTGAATTTCGGTTGTGTGTTGGTTTTTTGTTTGCTGTTTTGCACACTTTCTCATTTTAACGGTGGTCTGGATTTCCGTTCGTGCGCATAACAAACGAGCTCAAGAAAAGTAAATCGAATTTGGAGGAAAAAAAACTCTAGAATAAACAACAAAAAAAACAAGGAAACTAGTGGGGGGCAATGACAAAAAGACCAACACCAATAGTTTACCCGTTTCCTCTGCAGCCGGTAAATGCATTTGACGTAAATCTAATCAATCACAGCCAACAAATGTCGAGTCTTTTTTTAAAAATTTAGTCGAAATGGTTGTTGTTTTTTTTGTCGCTGGGTTTTTGTTTTGCGTTCGATCGAAATGAAAATATTGCCGTAATAATTGGTTTTCTTCGTTTGTTTCTCTTTCTCTTGCACTCGACGCTTTTCGTTCTAGCGCAATGAACTTTTGGAATGTTTGTTGTGTGCTTTTTTCATTCATTGTTGCTGGTGCATTTTTGTTCGGTTCGTTTTGCGTGATCCAATTTGATAATAATGGAGAGAAAAACAGAATTTAATTTAAAATAACTTGCTTGTTTGCGACATTCACACTCGAAAAAAGAAAAAAAAATATATTTCAAAACTAAAGAACGATAGAACGGGTGAACGAGTATGAGATGGTGTGATATAGAGAGAGAGACTTGTAGTTGGTCTAAGACTTGAACAGATACACAAAAACACAAAACTTGGTGCTATCGTTTGCAAAAAGTTTTGCATCAAAAATGATCTGGATGTTGGACTTTTGCGCGAAACAATTGTAAAATGGCCAGAGAGCGCATAAGAGTCGTTTGATGCAGATGGTAGAAGTCACCAATCGCCTATGATAGCCCTAAAATACTTGAAAACTTCTTCGTGCTGAAAAATCATCGCTTGTGTTTTTTCCGCCTCAAAAGCCCTTCAAAACACATCTCTGGGCTTGTAGAATGAAAAAAAAAATCGCTTTTTCAAAAAAAAACTTTCAATGGGAAAGTTATCGAGCCGAAGATAGAGTGAGGCGCACAACGACATAAAGAATTACATTAAAAGCAGCAACATCAACAGCAGCCCACCAAGTGGTGTTTCTTTCGTACTCATCGAGTGTGAACTCATTTGCACAGAAAACGCCTGTAACGCTACACATACTTTTTTTTTCTTTGCTCTGTTCGTTCGTGCCGATGTGAAACTAGAGTACGTTACCTGTCTTCTGCTTTGCTATTCTGTTTCGGCATTTATGTAGCATCACCAACACAATTCATACATAAATGTTCGCCCAAGCAAAATCCAAATGAAAAGCAAGAACATTTTTTTTATAAAATACGTAAATCTGACGATGTGAAATCAAAGAGACATTCATTTTTGCTCGGGGAATTCATGACACGTAATAGGATAAAGTAAAAAAAAAATGTGAAACGGACGAAAATCAAACGTGTACAAACATTGGAAATGGACTTTTGTGGAAACAGCAAGTGAGAATGAGAAGGAGGGAAAAAAGTTGTATAAAACTGAATTTGAGAGTTGAAATTTTTCCAATGTCATTTTGTGTTTATATGAAGCGACTAGACGCTAGACGACACCAAAGTATGTGACGGCCAACAATTCGGGGATTATATGAGCTCTCATTGACACATACACACATTGCAAGTTGAATGAACAGTGAGCACACATACACTGCAACATTTATTTGCCCATCGCATAATATCGAATGAACACGAGAGAAGTATCTCTCAATCGGTATGTTTGCTCGAATGATGGGACAGAGTAAGAGTGGGAGAGAGAGAAAAACTGGGAGAGCGTATAAGAAAAATCGAAACTAATATTCATGCCATCCATCGGGTTTGGGGTCGAATACTGAAAATTTGTGGATTATTGATGTGCTGCGAATTTGTTTGCATTTCCATTTCCACCGACGGGCACGTATTGAAAATTTGCGTGACGAAAATCAAGACAATATACTTCCAACGTATCTTTCCTCCAGATTGAACTCACGGAAAGCAGATTAAAACACTTGCCAATCGGAAGAGAGATGTCAACGTTCAGTATCTGTAAGTGTGTGAGTGTGTATCCTTGAGCTGAAAAAAGCCAGGCATGCGAGTGAATGAAGGGAGTTGTCTTTGAAAGTGTCTCTTTTATGAATGGTGTGTGACGGTCTTTTTCGTCGGCAGAGACACACTTTTCGCTTCAGTAAACCTCATAAAGTCCATTTTCTTCGGGCATATGTTTACTTTCGTTGTGTCACAAAAGCGTTGCGAAATCATCCTGTTCTATTCATTGAAATCGATGTAATCCTCACTGATTCCCAACCCACTCAAATATCGCTCTTCTTTTTTATGCTGTTTCTTTCGATTGATTTAGGCTAACGAAGTCAGCGCGATGTTTTTTTTGTCATCTTTTTGAAACAGACTTTTTTTAAAAACTTCGAACAAATACTTAAAAAGAAGTTGAAATAAAAAATACGCTTTGCGCCGAAGAATGCTCAGCAATGGAGACAAATAGTTACGAAAGAAAAAAAAAGTTTTACATTACACGTCCCTGAAGTGCAATTGTTTGAAAAGTTCGCTTCTTTTTTTTTTCCATCGTCACAAATTGTATATTTGCACAAGGAAGTATTTGGCATTTTGTTTTCCCGTTTCGCTGTCGAAACTTTTTTTTTTCTCGTCATTAAAGCAACAACTGTTTTTATATTTCCAATCAATAGTTTTCGGAGACAATGTGATATCAACGCAAGCGAACGAAAAAAAAAAGTTCGTTTTAAGAGCATGAATTGCACACAGACAACAAATGAAACGTAATCCAAAATCAATTTAATACAACAGAAAATCGAATACGTGTCTTTTTTCTTGCTTCAATTTCACTAATTGCAAACATTCAGTCATAAGTAATTACCAGTGAGGACAAAGTGGATGTGGTGTTGAATGGTTGTCCAGAGATGCCATTCCGTAGGTTGTTGTTGATGATGGATGTCTCAAAACCACCACTATCATCGTAGATGTCTGTGGGTGCGGCAGCATTGGCAGTCGATGTGATGGTGCTGCTGCTGCTGTTGGTGGTGTTGGTCGTTTTTTTGTTGTTGACGGTGGTGGCATTTTTGGAATTATTCCCATTGTTACTATTTTTCGATGAGAACGGAGCTTTTTGGAATACCATCGCAAAACCACCAGGCGATGGCTGTTCCTCAGCTCCGTGCACAGCACGCCAACGACGAAATATTGTTAGACCGATGATTAACTTTAAAATCGCGACCAACTTTTAGCCAGCGACGACCGCACGTTCGCTGGCTTATTTTTCAACTTTGTTTTGGTAGTCTGTGGAATTGTTTTTTCCCTTTCTATAGAGCGAACTCTATTCTATCGCTGGCTTCATATTTTTTTTCGACGGATTTTTTTTTAAACGGTTCAAAAATGAATTTTGATTGAAAATTCGTTTATTGATTTTATTGTCTACAGATTGAATGAAGCTGTTATAACTGTTTGATAACTATTATTTTCGAAGAAAAAAAAATGTATTGAAAATATGTGATAAAATTCAATTTTCACGCTTTTATTTCTGTTCATATCACTTCAATTCACACTGATTTCGGGATTCCGTCGAACATGTGTGTACATGTACGTGTACGTGTACTTGGCTGTATCAACTGTTCACATCGCATTCTCCGACTAACCACAAACGAGTCATAAAATAACAGCAAAAAGGCAACAACAGCAACAGCAAAAAAGCCGATGATTGATACTGTAATTCCAGAGATAAAAGGTAAAATGGTATTTTATGCTCGTAAAACACTCGTAATTGCCATACAATTTAATACTGAGCTATCAAATTGCAATCGAAATCGGTTTGGAAAACAATTGTAGCCCGAATGCCATACGAATCAATTATAAAATCATTGAATTATTCAGAGTTGTTCTTTTTTTTCTGGGTAATTTTTGTAAGTTCAGGCATATTCGAATATCGGAATATCAAACAAATTTCCCATTTATTGATTTTACAAACAACACGAGCGTTGTCTATTTGAAAATTGCCTCGCATACATACTCGGTCGCATACAATACAAATGCAGCAAACAAATGAGCATAAATGCATTTGAAATGAGCAAATATTGCCGCATCAACGGAGTAAAATCAATAGTGCAAACATACAGAATTTATAATTGTTTAATGCGAACCGAAGTCATATAATTCTCGTCAGTCTCGTCCTATTGTGTATATATGAATAACACAATTATAAAGTTATTCGTCGAATGAGACTTATCAGTGTGCAGAGGCACAATGTGCGATATTTTTCCACACACACTGGAGGAAACGAGACCATTTTCCTTTCAGCAGCAAATCCAAATATGTGTAAATTTCAATGCATCGACTTGAAGCAACATTTACATTCATAGACAGAAAGAGAAATAGAGAGAAAGAGAATCCATGGGATCATAGGGGTATTGCAACTACCATAAAATATATGTATTTCATCAAGTTTATCAAGCTCTTTCCAAGTTTATGCATAGTGTTGAACTTTTGTTCAAGCTCTACCATCGAAATGTACAGTAAAATAATTTACGGGCACGACGTAAGATGGCGTTTTTTCTGGTCAAAAAAGTTGCAATATCCCTTTGCATGGGATTTATATATATTTTCTGGGTGGATAACAGAGCAGCCCTTCACAGTCCAATATTGATTTATTATTATTTTGAACTTTTGAACTTTTTTCCAGTGTATTTAATCTTGTTGGATATATATACGGTTTTCTATGTCAATGCATTGTGCATGCTCTTCTTTGGACACACTGGATCCTCATTCTGTCTTTCGCTGTGAT